CTGCTGTGGGCCACTGTCCTGGGGCTGCTGTGCCAGCGCCTGGCCATCCGTCTGGGCGTGGTGACTGGGAAGGACCTGGGCGAGATTTGCTACCTCTATTACCCCAAGGTGAGCAGCCACGGGGAGCCCCTGGGATCACAGTCTGAAGGGACCTTGCGCTTGGGATGGTGACAGTCCTAGCAGGGACTTGGGAGGCTGGAGAGGTGCAGGAAGATGCTGCGAGAGCCCTGCCTCTCCCAGGGGCTCCCCAAAGCCCCCCAAGCCCCGGTGCCCCCCATCTGGTGCCCACACCCCTGCGGTACAGGAGCCCGGGGAGGGGGGGAGCTACCTCGGTGTCCTGGTCCGACCTGGGGACATATGAGAGCATCCCCCGCGGGGGGTGAGCCCAAGCGTCAGGGCAGCGACTCGCTGCCGAGACGCGGAGCCTGGGCGAGTTGGGGCAGGAAACTGGGGGGGCTCGAGGGGAGGGATCACATGGCGAAGGAGAGGAGGAGCTCAGGGTCCCTTTTAGGCGTCAGGATCCTGCTGGTGGGTGGAACGAACGAGGAGATGTTGGCTGAATGACAGGCCCCCAAAAGGAGGATGCATCCCTCTGCCCTGCTCCGCCCCCTCCCCCGAAGCATCATCTCCAGACTGCTGGGTCCTATCCTCAGCTCCCACTGGGGCAGGGATGGGGATGGGAGTGCAGGCTTAGATTTAGCATTCACCTTTTACCCTGAGATTGTCGTGTGAGAAACTAAGAGGCATCTCCTGGGGTTCCCATGTTGTTCTGGGTGGCCTGCCACAGTCTGGGGACAGGGATTTCCACCCAGGATGCTGTGCCAGCTCACCCAGGGCCAAGCCACACTGTGGGCTCAGACACCTCATGCTGCCCTGGCCCTTCCAGGTGCCCCGTGTGCTGCTCTGGCTCATGATGGAGATCGCCATCATCGGCTCTGACATGCAGGAGGTGATCGGGACAGCCATTGCTTTCAGCCTGCTCTCAGCTGGCCGGTGAGCCTACCCATGGGGATCCCCTAGCCTCCTCCACGGCCCCACTCCACAGAGGGGCATGTATCTAATCCCCCCCTTGCCATCCTGCAGCATTCCCCTCTGGGGTGGGGTCCTCATCACCGTTGTAGACACCCTCTTCTTCCTCTTCCTCGATAAGTACGGTGAGTGCCAGGGTGGGGGGGATGGGGTTACACTCACCTAGGCATCCCTGGTGCCAATGTGACACCAGTGTCCCCTGCTCCATCCCGCCCCATCTCTTGACCCCTCTAGGGCTCCGCAAACTGGAGGCTTTCTTTGGCCTCCTCATCACCATCATGGCCCTGACCTTCGGCTACGAGGTGAAGGGGGGAGCTGGGCACAACCCTTTTCCTGCAGGGTACTGGCAAGGGACCCCCATGTGGGGTGTTCCCACTGGTACCAGCCTGCAGCAGGAGGGTGGCAGCTCACAGTGACCCTTCCCACTGACTCCCAGTACGTGGTGGTGAGGCCAGTGCAGGTGAAAGTGCTGAAGGGCATTTTCCTGCCCTACTGCCCGGGCTGTGGGCGAGAGGAGCTGCTGCAGGCCGTGGGCATTGTTGGCGCCATCATTATGCCTCATAACATCTTCCTCCACTCCTCCTTGGTCAAGGTGAGACCAAGATACTGCCATGGGCACTGCCCCCCCCGGTGGGGGGACACTTGGTGGGGACCAGCTGGTCCTGGCTGCACGACAGGGCCGCTCCACTGACCCTGTGACACTCATGTCACTACCATGCCCAGACACGGGCAATCGACCGATCCAAGAAGCAGGCAGTGCAGGAGGCCAACATGTATTTCCTGACTGAGTCCTGCCTGGCCCTCTTCGTCTCCTTCCTCATCAACCTCTTTGTCATGGCTGTCTTCGGCGAGGCTTTCTACCGCCAGCGAAACGAGGACGTGGTGAGTGTCACCTTGTGCCCACAGGGAGGTGACAGCTGTGCCCAGCTGTGGAGATGGGCAGGGTAATCATGCCTTGGAGAATGGATATTCTCTGAGACATGGGATGTGGGGGTGTCCCCGTGTCTGTGGGGCCACTGGGTGGCTGTCACGCTTGTGC